AAGAACCAAGATGCATCATGTAAAGGTACAAGTTCCCAATGATAAATGTAAATGTATTGTATACCAAAAAGTACCCATAAAATAATTTAAGGAAAAAAAGAGAAGATTATAAGTTTGCTTTGTGCATCAAGCCAAAACAACATACTTTTCTGTCTCTTTGATGAGCTAGAAACAAGACTCCTCATATATTATTGATTTAGATGACATTTAGTCTCAGAATCTATAGAGTAATATGTTGAAACCCTTAATGTACAAAAATATATTATGCCCTGAGACATACTAGCTACAGAGTAGTACACAAGATATACTAAAAACTCTTCCTAAACAATTTTAAATAAATAATGGAACCATAACTGTATTTAAGTCCTTATATAAAATACAATTAATATGAATTCTTTTATGAAGTCTTTTGAATTCTAATATTCCTATGCAAAAGTCAATTCTTCATTATTTGTTCATAGTCCCTCATGTATAAGCTACCCAATTTGGGAGGGTTCCATGTAAAGTCATTAAATAATTTAGTTTTAATCACCTGTTACATAATACTTAGTCTTCTGAGCTTAAAATTACTTTTTAACTGCATTATAATGCCATTAATATCATAATTTCTTAAAACATTGACCACTGTACAGTCACTACCCAATCATGTGCAGTTCACCTGTTTCTGGGTAATTGTTATTGAAAGAATGTGCAGAGCCCTGATGATGATAAGCATTGACTCAAAATAATATGTTTTCAAAATTCTAATCCTAGGAGTCCTAAGAGTAGTGTTCTACATTTTTCATGTTGAGATAAAATTTTCCTTTAAAAATGAAAGAAGCTTCCCCTATATCTACCATGTGAATTTTGAAAAGTGGAAAAAAAATCAAAATGTTTTTTTCAGCAGGGTCCCTTCATGACCAAGAAAATGGATGTGGAGAATGAATATTAGCTCATTAAACACAGCAAACACAGTTTCATGGCTGGGGAAACTGCGGGAAACCAACATACTGTACTATTTTGTTATTACTTCTATGATTCCTCCATAGAAATCTACTTAGAGCAAAATCTTCATAATCAAAATCATGTATCTATAAGCTAAACATGCATCCAAAACGGCAATCCTGTTTTTAAAAGTAACTATACTTTTTAGTATGATTACTTATTTGCTATTTGAAAATAATTTTCCCTTCATTGCATTAGTGTTTATAATATAGTCAGCAACTGAAAATGGGGCAATTCAGAAATGTTACAAATAACCCACAGTACCTGTTCCTGTGACTTCAATTCTGTTTTCAAACACGCAATTTACTGTTTTCAACTGGTCTGGAACTAGATGTGTGAAGAAATAAAAGGAAGCAATGACGAAACTTGTTCCATACTTGTTCCACTATTTCAAAGCAAAAGGCTGCTCTTTCCATCATTCCCAGGCTAAGGTAAGCAGGTTAATGGAGTCAGGTTACTTTTCATTTGTTACTCTCATCACCAATTGGTTATCCCTCTGGAAAACATAACAAAGAGAGAATAAAACATGCATGACCACATAGTTTACTATTACAAGGCATCCAGTGATACGAAAATAAGTTCCACATCCACTTTTCATCCTTTGTCAGCTGGTGCTTGGCTTAATCGGCACTACTACGGAAGTGCCCCCAGTGCTTCCAGCAGGACTTTACATTAAGAAAACGTGTTAATCTCCTGGCCTACAGAGTGGGTTCTTTCAAATTGCATTCTCTTTTCAGTTGAAGGCTAATATATTAATCAGTTCATTCAAAATTGCTTGAAAGACCACATAACCTTAATAAAAGGGAAAATTTAATTGCTTGCTACTCTTCACCTGCACATTTTACCCTAATTTTGGCTAAGAGGCACAAAGTCACAGTTTAACCTCTTGTTAAAACAATGCCCAAGCTCTGTTATAAAGAGTCACAAGAGATAGCACAGCTCCCAACACAGAGGAGGTGAGCCAATCCCAGTACCCAGGAGGAGGCTCCTGGACTGTCATAGCACTTCTCCCAGCTCCTGGACTGCCACAGCACCGCTCCCAGTGCTCCCAGAGGAGGAGAGCACCACCAGCACCACCCCACTGTTGAAATGAGAAGACATGTAAACAAGTCTCAAAACCAGACTTCCAGATCACCTACAGCAACCCCAAAGGGAAACAAGATGGAACAATCTGATACTCAACCACGTGGACTCCCTGAACTGGCAACAAAAGAAGATCTGGAAAAAATGAAATCAGAAATAATTTCTCACATAACAGCACAGATTGTGCCCATAGTGCAAGACATGATTAATAAATCTAGAGAGGACACAGATGAAAAAAATAGAGAAGCTGAGGAACATGAAGGAATCCCAATATAGGAAACAAATGGAATCCATAAAACAGATGCAAACAGATTTTCAGGAGATTAAAAACTCCATTGACAGCTTACCCAGCAGAATGAGCCAATGTGAGGACAGAATTTCAGATATAGAAGATAGGATTGCAATTAGTGACCAGGAAAAGAAAACTTTCTTTAAAATTGTAAGGGATCATGAGAAGTCAATCCAGCAACCATTAGACAATTCAAAGAAGAATAACATAATACTGATGGGAGTCAAGGAAGAAACAGGAGAGAGTGCAGATGACATTAAAAAAAGCTTCCCATGAAATTGATGGCAGAAAACTTCCCAAGCAGGGGAAAAGAACTTGACATACAGATAAGTGAGGCATACTCCAACTAGCCTTGATCAAAAAAAACTACAATAGGCATATAATAGTTAAGATTCCAGAAACTCAACAGAAGAACAAAATTCTACAAAAAGTTAGAGAATAAAAACAAATCACATACAAAGGAAAGCCCACCAGAATCATAGCAGATTTCTCAATGCAAACCCTCAAGGCAAAAAGAGCTTGGAGTGACATATTTCAAGGCATAAAGGAAAATAGGCTCCAAGCCAGATTGATGTACCCTGCAAAACTATCTGTCAAAATTGGTGGAGAAATAAGATACTTTGATGACAAAGAGCACCTTAGGAACTTCATGAATACCAAACCAGCACTCCAAAAAATTTTAGATAGTATCCTAGGAAAAGACAATGAAGATCACAACCCCAGGAGGCCCAGCAGGATGAATCCATTGGGTGCAACAAGAAATTAAAAGCAAAGGGGAAGAATCCAACAAACAGAAAAAGTCATCACCATGATAAGTCAATATGTATCAGTTATAGCCATCAATTTTAATGGTCTCAATTCCCCAATCAAAAGAAATAGACTGGCAGAATGGCTCAAGAAGATCTGACAATATGCTCCATACAAGAAACACACTTAATATAAAAAGAAACTCATAGACTGAAAGTTAAAGGGTGGAAAACAATACTCCACATGACAGGACCCCCCCAAAAAAGCAGGAGTAGCTATCCTCTTCACAAATCAAGTGGATTTCAAACCAAAATCTGAAACACTTCTGGTCCCAAGAATTTCAGATAAGGCATAGTCAACTTGTACGTACAATCTATTGTGAACATGTGTTTTCATTCCTCTTAAATAAAAACTTAAGAACAGAACTGTTGGTTCTTAACAGTAATACAAGTAATTTCTATGTTGTTTTCCAAAATGGTTTTATCATTTTACATTCACATTAGCAGTGTTCGAAAGTTCTAACTGGTTCACACCTAAGCTGACATCTGTTCTTTTAGAACTTTTAACTTCATCTCCCTAATGAGTGTATAATATGATCTTGTATTGCACTGATTAGTATTTTTATTCTAGTGTTGCACACCTTTCCTTGTGCTATTTATCATCTTCTTGTGTCTACTTTTTAATTGGATTGTCTATTAATGAGCTCTAAGTATTCTTTATATATTCTGGCCATAGGTTGTATGTATTATAAATATGGTCTGTTTAAGGACTACTTTTCATTTTCTTAACGATGTCATTTAAGGTTCTCAATTTTGATGGAATCTCATTTATCAATTTTTTCTTTTATACATCATGTTTTTTGTATCCTAGGGAATTCTTGCCTACCCTAAATTCATGAACATTTTCCCTTATAATTTCTAGTTAAAGTTTTATAATTTTAGTCTTTCATATTTAGGTTCGTAGATCCTTTCAAGTTATCTTTATGTATGGAAATAAGGGGTTGAAGTTAATTTTTTACATGCAGATAACAGGTGTTCTAGTACCATGTGCTAAAAACACTACCTTTTCCTCTACTCTTGAGTTGAGTTTATGTTCTATAAAATGTTGATGTTAAATAATCTTTCAAAACTCAGTGGACTATATATGTGTGGTTCTATTTCCAGATTTTCTGTTTTATTCCAATGATCTATGTCTTTCCTTACACGAGCACTGCCTTGATTACTGTGACATTAAAGGAAGTCTTAAAATTAGGTGATAAAGGCCAGGGATTTAGCTCTGTGATTCCGCCGCCTGCCTCACAAGTGCAAGGACACCAGTTCAATCCCCAGTACCAA